CGAGATACATCGAACTGAAATTGTAGTAAACAGTAGCTATATGAAAATAGTTTGGAGGGAGAGAGTTTTTAAGAATATCAGTTGCTTTTTCACAAAGCGATATGGCCTTTGAATTATCGCCCATTTTGGAGTACAGGAGAGCGATGTTGCTGTAAGAAGTAACTAAATCAGGATGATCTGCCTTAAGAGAATCTTCTTGAATTTTAAGCGTTTCTTCAAAATATGAAAGTGCCTCTGTGTAATCTCCCTTTTCGCGATAACTACATCCAATGTTATTATAATTTATAGCCAGACTAAGTTTGCATTTAGAATGAGACTTCTGTTGAATTTTTATCGCTTTTTCATAAAAGTAAATTGCTCTTGAGTAGTTGCGCATATCATAATGCATCAAGCCAATGTTGTTGTACGTTGCAGCCAAATAAGATTGATTCTCAAGAAGACAGCTTTGTTGAATTTTAAGTGCGCTTTGAAAAAATGATGATGCTTTCGAAAATTGCCTTAATTCTTTATATGTAAGTCCGATGTCGTTGAAACAGACAGATAAATCAAGTTGATTATAATTAGATTTCTTATAACACTCTAGTGCTTTTTCATGATAATCAAGCGCTGATAAGTGTTGACCCATGGAGGAATACGCTCGACCCCTGGTTGTGTAAGACCGAGCTGTTTCAACATTATATACAGGAAGAGTAGTCTTTGCGATATCAAGAGCTTTTTCTGCATAGGAGATGGCTTCTGAGTATTGTCCAACACTGTTATACAGTACAGCACTATTGTTACAATATCTAATAAAGTCATAATGGTTTTCAGGGAGAGATTTTTCTGCATCACTAATTGCTTTCTGGTAAAGCGAAAGTGCTTGGTAACACTTGCCCTCATTAAAAAACATCGAACCAACGTTAGCTTGATAAGCAGCTGAATGATAATGCTTCTCAGGAAGAATTCCCGATAAATTTTCATCTGCTTTTTTAAGAAACGAAGCAGCCCTTTCATGCTGTCTCATAGCAGAATACGCCGAGACGAGATTGGTGTACAATATACCGACAAAACGACGACTTTTAGGAAGAGACTTTATTTTACTTTCCAGTGCTTTCTCATAAAACGAAATAGCTTTTAAATACTCCTGTTTTGCGAAATAAGCCAAACCTATATTTGCATGTACAGAATCTAAAATATGCTGAGTTACAGGCAGACCTATCTGACCCAATAGAATGGCATATTGGAGAAGTTCTATTGAATCATTAGGATGTCCCTCGTTCAACTCGGCAATACCGTGGCATTGAAGCAAATTCGTCATTTCCCCGATATCATTCGTCTTTTGCCAAAGCCTGTCACATATTTCGTGCACTTCTTTAAATTTTCCTAATATTAGAAACAAACTGGCAATACGATGCCATCCAGGTACATCATTTACTTCTTCTCTTATGGACTCAGTAATGGCTTGTAGTTCTGGATCATTGTCGCTGGTAAGTACTAGGTCTACTTTCCATACATCGTCCATAGCCTCCATTAGTTCACAACTCTGTATGCGAAAAACAGAATGCATGGAAAAAAGTATTTCATCTTCCATGAAAGTAGAGATATCTTTAATTTCGGCATACGGTGTGGACTCGATTGTTGGATCAACGGTTATTTTGAAAACAACTTCTATCGTATCAGAATTCACTTTGCTAGCCTTGGCGAACCCGAGAGCTATATTCATATCACTAGAAGTTGACAAGAAGCAATTGAAGCTTAACAATCCACCGACGCTGTTTTGCACATGATCGAACTTCTGTCGGTGCAGCGCCTGTCCCCGATACAGCGTAAATGATTTCAAGTTACGATTTTCTGTCGAATTCTTTCTATGAAGACGACTAATATGTTCATGCAGATCGCGAATAAAAAAAGCTAATTTGATGATAGCATCAGTTTTCATCATACGTAATGCTACGTTAACCTCGCTATAAAGGAAGCCTGCTTTTGCATACCAGAATATTGCGCTGTTTTTGTCGTATTCTCGTTCAAATTTGATGATGTCTTTGGGAACACCACCAGATCCTTTGTGCTTTTCGCTATAATAACTGATATATTCTTTCAAGTCTTTTTCTTCGAATACGATTGTTAAAATGATTTCCTTTAGAATTTGAGTATACATGAAAGTTGAGTCCAATTCGTTGAGACTTTTAATATAACGAACTGTATCGTTTGTGTTCAAGACACTGATGGACATTGAATTGTCATAATATTTTCTGGTAAAGTTCTTGAGTGCTTCGCAAAGAGATGCCATATCTTCATAAATACCTTTTACTTTACATTGTTGATTTATCCATTCTTCATCATCTAGCGTTTTCCCTCGAAGAATATAAATTGAAATAACTCCTGATATGTCTTGTAAAGAGGAAACAATAGATTGAGCAGAGTCACTAGAGCAAATCGTCAGCACTTTGTCCTTTTGAACACCAGTAATGTAGTCAATGCATTCCTTCATATTGGTGAATCTATGTGTTTCATTTATTACTTTCTTCAATTCTGTTACGGCATCTTGAGAACACTGACCACTAACTTGATCGGTGCCATCATCATACCAAACAAGATGAAAGCTTTGAAACATTTCAATAAATTGTGGTTGAATTGTTTTATATTAAATAATGTGCCGTTTAAAGACTACTATCGACTATTTGTCAGCTTCTTTCAAAATATACCACGAAAATATACAAACGTACGCATATTAAAAAAAATGATTACATATATATATATATATATATACAAGTATGGTTTAGTCCATTTTCGCCGATAAAAATTTTCCTGTTCTTTTTCATCAAATGTATATCGGCGAAAAAGAACAGGAAAATTGTCTTCCGAGAAATTCACTTTCGGCGAAAATGAAAAATACCTATACGTATATGCATAAACTTGTATGTGCGGCTTGTTCTGTGTCGTCTAACATAGAAATATCTAAACGTTTGTACAGGTGTTTGCAGTTGAGTATCTACTTATTCAATCAAGCATCAATCAAATTTTATCGCACCATCGATGTAGCAAATGTCCTCCTATCTTCGCAATTCGGGCAAACAGCAAGATAGTCAGGTTGGGTGATTAGATCGACCTTCATTACAACACGTTTCGATCGGTATTCTGACCTTATTTTATATGCTATTTTTTGGGTATGTATGTGAGTGTGGGGATAGTGTAGGTTGGTGCGAGTGGAGGTAACTTTAGATATGATATTCTATTCACTCATACTCACACCACACACCCACAGGGTGGGGTGTGGGTGGGTGTGGGTGTGGGTGTGGGTGTATTTTATTATTTATGTATCATGACCACACCCCACACTCACACCCACACTCACACCCTCTCTGAAATACTATAGCATATTCGCATATTATGAATGGACAATTATACTTCTAGATCCGATTTTCACAAGTTTTCATGTGGTATAAAACTTATTGAAAATTCTATTTGACATCATACTGCTACTCTTCTAGAATAAAATTATTTGTAACCCTCTACATGATAGAGAATACTGAAGAGAAAGGAACAATAATTTTGTTTTGAGTTTGTACTATCGCTTTATTATTCATTGTTGAAAGAGAGGAAAGAAAAATATTTTCTATTTTGGTAATTCAGTGTGCACNACGAAAACATATTAATTGATAAAAAGATGACATAAGGAAAAAGGAATTTCTTGTTCGCATAGAAAAAAATTATGTTTGCGCAGCGTCGAAAATTGGTCATACAGAATTTTGCTTTTTTTGACAACAAAAAGTACAGAATTAAAATAAGATTTACTTTTTAAATTGTAGTTCTTTTCACGCTGCATCTTGTGGCACATTTTATTTTTTTTTACAAAAGTAGATTAGGTGATAAAAAGATGAGATCAGAAAAAATGATTTTCTCGCAGCGTCGAAAATTGGTCGCACACAATTTTGCTTTTTTTGAAAACAAAAAGTACAGAATTAAAATAAGATTTACTTTTTAAATTGTAGTTCTTTTCACGCTGCATCTCCTGGTATATTTTGTTTTTTTAAAACAACGTATTAAGTGATGCAAAAATGAAATGGAAAAAGGCCGTTTTTTTTGTCCGAGGGAGATTAAGCTCGAAAAGAGGGCTAAAGATATGTATGTTAAATTAAATATTCTTTCATAATAATCCAATAGAAGGATTTAGTTTCGTAGTTAAGTCTACCAAAAGTTACGAGAAGCAATAGTGTTGCTGCTTCATAGCAAAACTATAAGTTCTGTCTGTAAACAAAATCAATTCAATTGTAAAGTTGAATTTGGAATATAAGTATTTTTAATGAAATTTGTAAACAATGTTATAATGATCTATATCATTTATTAATTATGTTATGTTACGTTACGTTCAAATGGAATGAAATACTTTATGATTAGTATTGAAAACTAAACATCAGAATTTTTTAATATGACATTTAAGAAATGCAATGTCATTTTTTATAAATAATTTTCAATATTATTACGTACTGATTTTCAACAATAATCATTTATAATTTTAGAAACAACATATGAATTAATAAGAAATACGTATATATTTTATCAATTTGAGTTTCATTTTGTTTAAAAGCAAAACAATAAGAAAATAATAGTTCGGATCAATGTATTTTATAAGAATTGGCAGAGTTTGCTCGAGTAGGTAGTTGTGATAACCCCCCAATGTTTGCTGACTCGGGTCAGCCCTGAGAATTTGAATAAGATTTTATTAATCAAATAAAACTTTTATTTGGAATATTAAGTATAATTCAAAATCCTAATGCTTTATTACATTTACATATTCTTTTTAACAAGATTTGATTTCAATCGATATTTTAACAAATAATAATGAATCATTTAGAGAATTTTAAACGACTAATCAAAGATATTCATTAAATGTTAGTTCCTTTTTTTTTTTGTTTGTTCTTATCTTTTCTTTTTTGCTTTGTTTGACTACGAAGTAGATAAATATCAATGGTTATTCGACTCGTTTTTTTATTTCTGCAAAGAAGAAAATAAGAAATACAATGAGTGTTCAGTCGGATATATTAAGCCTTATTATTAATGAAAGTGAACCTTTGATATCTCCTGATATCAAAAAAAAATGTATGTATTTCAATTAAATTTTGTTATACATGATTTTATTTTCTTCGTTTTTCTTTTTATCTAGCACATATGTCATGGATTATGGCTGCAGGACTTATTGTTAATGCAGCAATGGGTGTAAGTTTATATTTAACAAGCTTTTTTGACTTTGACTTAAGAATAAATAGTGGTAAAGATAAATAAAAACAAAAGATAGCATAAGATGTTTATATTTGATAATATAAGACATCAAGTATAAATATCAGAGAAAAATATACAATTAGGTAATTCAAGGTTATCTTTGGACTTTTCATTATCTAGGGGTTTCTTGAAAAGGTTATGTTTCTTCTAAACTGAAGATAGATTATTAATGTATCGATTTTAATATGATCTGTCGGCAATAATTGAATACGTAATGATCAATAATATTAAATAGCTTTTTTTCTTTTATCTAAAGATCGAGTTTTTATCTTCATGTTATTTAAAAAAAGGTTCGTACTATAAGTATTGAAAAGGAATGAATTTTCTGCTAATTATTTTATCTTAGGAAATGTTTTGGTTTATTTTTAATGTTAGATTTCATCTTTTCTTTTATGCTCAATAAATTTCTTGAAAGTAACATTCATTTGAAATTCTTTTTTTCTTTCATTATCAGAAAATAAAACACACACTTCAGATATCAGACATAATGTATCTTCTCTGGTTATGTAAAATGTTTCAAAGAGAAAACGTTATCTTTGAGTTCCTCTGGAGCTCGTATTGTACTCAAATTATAGAACTTAGTCTGACTAATATGAACTACGATAAACAAAACCAATTTTCATAGAAGTCAAGGAAAGAAGCGACTATTGGACACATATTTGACAGAAGCATAGTTCCTACTTTACCTCTAACAAACCTCAATTTCCAAACATTTGATTCAATCACACACCTCGTAATGCAAGAAAAACGGTGGCATATGAAAAATAAAGATTTGCCTCATGGATAGAGCACATCGAGTCGCAAAATTTCGAACCTGATGGACTGTAGTCATTGAATACAAAAAAAAAACTATCTCGTATCTTCGGTGTGTGCTGTAGAAATGTAATTTTGTTTCTCAGTAGGTGTGAATGAAGAGAAGAGCTACATCCTCGGTTTCGGCAATAGCATACTAACTACGTTGTGATATAGACGTGCTCTTGTAGATAGTTTGTATTTACGCAGAGCTCAAGCAATTGAACGCAAAAACTCTGCATCAGGCTGACCTTCTGTGCAGAGCTACAGCTAGTATTAGTTGTTGGGAAAATATGGGGCTACTGAATCTACTACTTGAGAGCACCCACACCCTCAAAAGTAGCCTAAAGACAGGTTTCTTCTTTCAATTATGAGTATTGATTGCTCATTGTCATTAAAATAAAAATAAGGAATTGATGCTATCTGCAAATAAATACATCCGGACAGTGTTTTGACTTCAAGTTAAAAAACCTTTGTTGAAAAAAAGCTAAATTTTGCTATTATAATTTATCTGTTAACATACATGTACATATGTCATCCGTTAGATTTTTTTTTCCTTAGGCTGGTCTTCTTAATATTTCGAAAGCTTATGATGATGCTGGTGGAATTATAATCAGTTCAATTCTTCATGCTGTAGGCTAAGTTATTCGTAAAAGTTTTTTTTTTTAGTATTGTTTACTTTTTCGTTTGATCAATTGTTAGGTTGTTGTACTTTTGGTAATTGGTGCATATGCTATTTTATTTGTATGTTGTGATCAATCAACATCATCTTTTGAAAAATTTGTTCTTATAAAATGTGGAAAAATATGGCAAAGAGTTTGTTCTGTTTGCATTATTTTATATATGTAAATAATTTGTTTCTTTTTTTTTTTTTTTTGAGTAAAAAAATTCTTTATGATTTCGAAATAATAAATTTTAGGTATGGCTTAAGTATAACATATTTTATTATTATTGGTGATCAACTAGATCGATGTATGATTAATATGAATTTAAAAAATTAAGATTTTATATTATTATCATTGTTTTATTTTCAATTGATTTAGTTTTGACATTTGCTGTTGGGGAACATTATTGTTCTCATTGGTATCTTGATCGTCGATTAATGATTATCATTACATCAATGTTCTTAGTTTTTCCTTTATGTTTTTCAAAGACAATTAAATTTCTTCAAGTTCCAAGGTAGATAGAAAAAAAAGAAACAAATGTATTAAACATTATTAAATAAATTTTTTTTTTCTAGTATGCTTGGTGTATTAGCAATAATTTATGTTGTTATAATGGTACCTATTCAATATTTTCTTCATCCTCCAACAGATGTTATTATTAGAAAAAGGTATAGAATAAAATGTTAAAAGAAAATTTATTTCGATTATTTTTAGTCCGGAATCATGGACAGATATTTTTTTAGTTTTGCCAACCATGTGTTTTTCTTATCAAGTTTGTAGAATTTTATTTTTTTTTTTTTAATTAATGAATGAAGTATTGTTTTAGGCTCATGTAAATGCTGTACCAGTTTTTGTATCATTAAAAACTCGTGCTGATTGTTTTAAAGCAACATTAGCATCAACAATTGTTTTAGTTTGTAGTTATTGTTCAGTAGCTGTTTGTGGTTATCTTACATTTGGAATAACTGTTGATCATGATATATTAGTAAGAAATTGAATTCTATTTAAAAGAGAATTTGTAATTTTGCTATTTTTCATGAAATTACAATTGGATAATCTTTTAAAATTAATGAACCATACATTTCGGAAGTTTTTTTTCTTTAAACAAAATTCCATTACACAAAGGCTTTTGTCGGATTGATCAAAAGAAGAAAAAAAACAAAAGATTTTCATCTTTAAATAAATCTATTAGAAGTTATGATGATGACCATAAATATCAAAGTGTCGGTGGAATAATAAGAAAGATGTTAAAACTTTTCTTGTCGTTATTTGAATAGGTTCTTGATAAGGAAAAATTAGTTTCTAATCTCAAAAATCCTTAGAGAAAAAGATTTAGCATATTTTTTTTATTTTTTTTTTTTAGATTCTTTCTTAAGGACAGATTATTGAAGAGTCTTAAATCGTGATTTTAATAGATCTCAGAATGACCTACAAAAGTGAGATCTGAACAATTTTTGGAACATAGATATTGTAGTTTTCATTAAACACAAAATATTTTCGTTATGCAACGATAATCAAACAAAATTTAACTACCTACATTTTGGTACAAAGCACTAATTATGATATTAAAATATTAATGAAAATAAAAATGGTGTTTTTCACATTTTTATGATTTTTGAGTTGTTTTCTGTCTCTGATTGTTCCTTTGAGTCAGGAAAGGTCTCAAATGATGCAAAAAGAAATCTTCTACAAAATAAGTTTTAGTAGTCGATCGTACCTTCACAGGGGAAGTGGGCCTATACTTGATGGTCGTCTTTTTGTTAGTACTTTGTCTATAACCTTGCTGATAAATATGTATTCTGAATAAGTTTAGAGTACCTCTACTGGACTTTATTTTTTTAACTTTATAAAGCGTACATTCAACCAAATAGTATTTTTATACTCAGTTTTCGATGTTGATCATGAATTTAGAGTCATATTTTTACATGGAACAAGTCTAGTCTATATAATGATCAATGGTCATTCGAAATATTTATTGAGGACTATCAAAATGCACCAATTATGATTACTAATAAAAACCTATGCATGCCTTTTTGCACGTTAACTGAAAAAATCAAAAGAGGATCAATGTCAAGAACTTCCAGAAACTAGATTCATTTTTTTAGAACCTCATGATGTGACGAGATTAGAGACAAATTACTATCAAAATGATGATTATCAAGCACAGACTTACATCCCTTGTGGAAACACGACCGATTGTGAAAATTTATTAAAATGATTACTAGTAAAGCTCATTTGGTACAGAAATTCTTTGTGCATTTCTTTGAAACATTTCCTGACTCAAAAAAAAAAAACGATCAGAGACAGAAAAAAACCATAAAAATGTGACAAACACCATGTTTGATTGCTCTTTTTTCTTTGTAAATCACATTTCTATTAACAAATTAATTATATCAAACACCTGATAGATACGAACACGTTGATCAAAGCAAATTCAAATCAGTTTAAGAATCTCGTATTTTAGAAAAATCAAAACATGAGAAATACTTTACATTAATTCTAGGCATCACATAAACTTATACAAAAAGATATTTAGTCAAGGTAACTCGGTCATTGATTTCAAGTAGGAAACACTTTGAAGATCAGAAATTAGTCTCTTCGTTCATAAAAAGAAAACTTCATACGAATTCGGACGTAAAATATCTTACTACAGATTCATGTAAAGTACTCTCTATAATAGACTATGAACAGGAAAATTAAACATAAAAGAAGAGTTTCAATCGGAAGTTTGTTGAAAATGTAAATCACAATATTACAGTAATTTCCGTGAAAATGATTGGTTCTATTGTTTCGACGCAATACATCTGAGACGTCAGAGATTAGAAAAAATTGTCCGATGTTCACGTTCATAAATGAGCAACGACTATATAATTTTAATGTTGTACTTATAATAATAATTAAATATATATATATATATATATATCATTTAAATAGATGTCTTATGATCCTAAATTAGCACCTGTTCTTGTTGCAGTTATTATGGTTGCAATAAAAACTTATACAGCATATCCAGTAAATTTATTTTGTGGCAGGTATGAAACGCAAAAAAAAAAACAAAACAAAAAAGAATCTTTAAAATGAAATTTTCAATTGTTTTATATTAGAACTGCAATTGATTCATTTTCTACAAAGCATGAAGAACATACAATAAAACATCGTATTATAATTGTTTGTTTATGGTTTTTTACAACATTAGCTGGAGCAGTTTTTTTACCGAATATATCATTAGCAATACATTATTTAGGTGCACTTGCAGCAAGTTTTATTTTTATTTTTCCAGGTTAAATTTAGAAATATTATTTTAAAAAAATTTTTGTCAATATTTTTTTATTTCTATAGGTCTTTGTTTATATTTTCATATTGAAGAAAAATGGATATATTCATGGCAAAATATATGTTCAATTAGTATAGCAATTTTTTATGTTGCTATTGGTGTATTTGTTACATTATTAACTTTAGTACAATCATTAATGACGGATACAAGTGCAAAAGGAAGTACTAATAGAAAAATATGTTAATATAATATTTCAAAAAATTTTATATTCATTAATTAACTTATGAGTTTTGTAATATAAAAAAATCTTTTTTTTTTTTTTGCGAACATTTTATTTATAATTTTCAAGTTTTATGCGAATGTCTAAAAATCTCTTGTGTTCAAAATTAAAATTAAATATATATTTATATAGTAGTATATTCATTTAATTTTTTTAGGTTTTTTTAAAGATTGTAATGAATAGACAAATTCAATTATTTCATTGATTTGAATCAATTTTTTACAACGAATGTTTTTTTAACCTAAAATATAATATCCTCTTGAGATTGTACTCATTAAGTACTTTTGAACTGTTGTCATAGTAAACGTTCTTGTTGATATTTTGCAAAAAGAATCATGTGGAAAATATAAAATATTCATAAACTTATGCAGTAGAATGTTGATTTGGTAAAATTTGATATCATCACAGGATTTCTTTGATACGCAATTTTATTTTTTTTGAGATATTTTTCTTCAAAGGACATTTGAAAAGCATCTGAAACTTTCACGGAGTCAAATGTATTCATTATTTAGAATAATGAATTAATTTTTGTAATACAATATATTACTAAATCATACTACGTACTTTTAAGATTGAAATCATTTTTTCAAATTTGTTATATATTTTGGAGTTTCTTATATAAACTGTAAAGAAGACTGTCATAGTTCATTCAATACATTCATATTTAATTATGTTAATCTTATATTTGCTTTTGTTTAATGAATTGATTTTTATAAAAGAAAATAGAAACCTTATCCAACTATATGCCATTAGGCTCATCTTGTCTTTTTGATTATTCTGTCAAGAGTTTCGTATGACTCATTAAAAACACAAACAATCAACTTTTCAACAAACAACAAAGCCTCGATTTTGATCCAATCTATGTCGTATAAAATGCTATATATATATATACATATTCTCTTATTTAACGACTATGTTATGTACGATGACCTTATGTTTTTTTTTTCTGAAATTCTATCATCTACGATATTGCATAGTTGGTTGTTTTTTTGTACAATAAGATGTTGAATTCTAAAGCGAAATAGTTCATAAGGACTTATGATAGTGTTGCATGAATTTCTTTAATAGTAAAAATCTATGAAAAGTCTTCAGTTTTTTTTTCTTCTCAATGATATGATTAAAAGAAATAATATATATATATATATATATATTCGATATTTTTAAATATTTATTTGACAGTGGAAAAAATAATTTCTTTTAATAAAATTTCAATATAAATAATTTGATTATTTTTCATAGTGTTTCAAATACTTTATCTTAATCGGTTAACGTTGAATTTGATGCATTAACATTCTTTGGTGATTGAACAACATTAGATGTTATTGTTGTTGTTGTTGTTGTTGATGATGATTGTCTTGCAAGTTTTTGATGATTATTTTTACATTTATATGTAATATAATGTAATTTTTGTCCCCGATTATAATCATTATTTGTATTTGTATTCATTGATAGAGAATATTTCTTTGGATTTAATGAATATTGTTCACTATTACAACGATAATAATTATCTTTTGTTTTATGTTTCGATTTTTGATAATTAAAATTAAGTGATTTTCGTTCTTTAGTTGGTATTAATGATGTTTTTCTATGATTACATTCACATATTGAATAACGACCATATTTTATAGGACTAGTTTTTGTTAAATTAATATTATGTAATGAACTAGTACGTCGATATATTGAACGAAGTGGAGATATCGGTTCGAAAGATGGTTTTCGTTGAGTAAAAATATTTCCATTATTCGGTCGTTTTTGATATTCCCAATAGTTTGAATGAACAGCCTTTAATTACAAGATAATTTAAAAGAAAAGAAGAAAAACATGAGTGCGTGAGAGGAACTCATTGAACATAGACTAGCTTCCGGTTTTTATGTTTGTGATGAGTTTATTCTTACGGATTATGTTACTATGATATTATTACATTATGAAACTAATCTACTTACATTCAATTGAATTTGTTCTAATGTCCGCATATGTGAGTTCGTTCGTCCTAATATATGATGACTTGATGTACGCAAAAAATAACTTCGATCTTTTGTATGACAACATACATGTGTTAATTCACGACGAAATTTTCGATTAAAACAAGTAAAAATAAAAAAATTAACCTAGAAAAATTCGTTTTTTTTGTTTTTGTTTTATATTAAAAACTAGAAAAGAAAAAATTTCTTCGTACTGTACTATTGAAAAAAATAAGAAAATTCGATATATCATAACAAATATAAAGCCATTTATGATTTCGATAAAACATATAAATATAGTGAAGTATTGATGCTGGTACTTGACATATAGTAAATAAACCAATTAAACATATAACTGAACGTGTGACAACACCGTCTCTAAAACGTATTGTATTTGTTTCACGTGCAATACGTGTATTTTGTACATAGTGTGGTGTACAACGTTGAAGAAAATGTGAACTAGCATGAACACTTCGAATAAGTTCAACATTAAAATATGATAACAATAAAAGCGGAAGAATACTTTGAAGAAGACTATAAAGAACTTTAAATAAAACATTATATTTTAGATTGAATAAATCAAAAGAAAACAAGTTATTTCTTACTAAGATGGACGGTATATTGATAAATAGTACTATTATGTAATTTATTTGTTACCACAACATGATCATAATATTCTGTATAATTATCAACTACAGTTAATTCTTCACGTCGTATTTCAGCTTTATATTCAAAAAAACGTGGTAATGAATAAATAAAACCCAAACAGTAAATTGTCACAACAATATAACTTTAAAAAAAGAAAACAAAATAATATGTTTATTCTTCATATTGATATATAGATTATAAAAGAAATAAACTCTATTTATCGATTTAATTTTGATCTGATCATAATTTTTTTTTGTTTTTCTTATTATTAATAGTTCTAATTATTAAATAAGCATGTACCAAAAAACAAAAGATATTTATTCAACTAAAATCTAAATATATATTATTCTAGTATCAACTAGACAGAGTATGTGTCAAAATGATTCAAAATAAAAACAAAAACATCTTTTATTTAAAATTCATTATATGTCTTTCTTTGTTTTGTTTTATTTACACTTTATGTCTTTTATTTTTAGATTATGAAAAGAGAAAGTATAAGAAAAATATCTCAATGAATATTTTAAATTTTATAATTAATCTTGTTTCTGAATGTTCAGTATTTTTTAATCAACTTTTTTATGTTATCTTTGAATTAACAAAGCCATATAAAATATTGGATACTTTTAAGTTATTAAATTAGATTAACAATTTAATTTGTAAGGAAAAGAAAATGAATAAATTATATATTATCATAAAAATTCGTCCAAAGAGTTTTGAACATGACAAATTTCTTTTTTGTCATGTTGTCAATATTCATTGTTAGCTTCTTTTTTTGGCTTTTCCATTAAACCACTTCCAATGTTCTACGACATTTATTGCCTTTTATATTTCTTTTTGAAGATTAAATCTATTTTAATCTCTACATCATACATTCGTAGAATCTAGAAATGCCCTCCAAGAACAAAATGGATGTCTGTATAAGTTAACATGAGAAAAAAACTAACTAACCAAGCTCTTTTTGAGCTATGTGTGTAATGAAGCATTGGCCATTTAATAGCAAACCATCGATCAATAGCAAAGCCAATTATTACCCAGACACTCGTAAATTGAAACCATATAATACAGGCATAAACATATGGAAAAAGATATTTATGAAGTCGTGATGAATAAAACGATTCAGTTTGTCGATTTGGAGGAATAGAAAAATTAAAGGCAAAAATAAGACCTAGTAATAATAGACAACTATCACTAATACTCAATCCAGCAAGATAAGTTGAAACAACACTACGCTATTCAAATAAAATAAAATAGAGTCAAATTAATATATGCATGATATGAGCAATATTTACCATTTGACGACGAGTAAATATATAAACAGAACATAGAGCAAGAACAAGTCCTACTGAACATATAGTTGTACCTATTTAAAACATGAACAAATAAAATTATTGATTATCGTTTTTGTGTTTAAATAAAATATTTTCTTACCAACATAGCCAAATAAATAATGTGTAAATAACATGAGAGACATGTCACAATTTGAACTATTATTTAAACACGACGACTATAAAAAGAAAAATTACAAGCATCACAAAATCGATTTATTATCTGTTTGAATAAAATAACTTCTTCCGTTATTTTTTTACAATAGCA